GGGCATTCTGCATTAGTGGGGCAGGATCTCTTAGCCCACAATCTCCTGCCTTCCACCAATCTTTCGTTATACCTGACTCCCTGGTGCCTTTTGACATAGAGGCTGTGGAAGTTGTTGGTGCTCTCTGGCCGTGACCCCTGTCCAGCCTGCAATCGTGCCATGATCTCTGCTTTCATCTCTTGGGCCAGGTAAGCAGGAAGGATGGACAAGAGAAGGTGTTCCTGAGGGAGGTAACTATGAGCACCAACCTTTCTGCACCCTACATCCGAGAACCCCACCCTCCAAACTCACTGAGGAGCCCCTACACTGCCCCACCTCCAACAGATGTTCCCTAACATACTTCCTTAGGTCCTTCCCAAAGCACAACCTGGTTTCAGCACCCCATCTGCATTGATCACTTTTAGGGACTGAACTTTCAGCCCTGTTCCAAGTATTTAGAGTCTTTCACTTAATGTCATAACGTACTAAAGCTCTGTTACAAGCTTCAGATTATTTGAGTCTTAATAACTTTTCAAGGTGAGCCAAAGCCACATTTTACAAGGGAGGAAATAGAACGTTAAATGGCTTGCCCAATGTCACTCAGCAAGTCCGCTTGTGTGATCTAAACATCTCTGCTGTCTGAGCCTGAGCCCAGCCTGCTTCCCCGAGCCTGCTTACCTGGTGCTTCTTCTCAGTGTCCAGCCGCCTGCGCGAGTGCAAGGAGCTGAGCGCCTCCCGGAACGTGGCTCGCAGCGCGCGCTCCATCAGTGCCTTGTGGTACACTCCGGCTACGTTCCCGCACAGGAACAGCACGGTGTTTGCCGCCAACTGTGGACGAGGGCCGCCTCAGAGATCGCGGAGACCCGCGTGGGGTGGGGTGGGGTGGAGGGATTCGTGGAGGGTATGTGTGCGACTGGTACTGGTCACGAAGACTGGCTGAAGAGAACCAGTCTTTAAATTTAGGGAATTAAGGATTGGCGGACAAGCGGTGGCTACACTGAGTTCTTAGGGGTAATTCACTTCCTCTGCTCCGTTGGCTATAGCACCAACATCAAGTACCTTTTAGTTCTAGAAACCTCTGCATGTGCCTTCTCCTTGCTTGGAGAACCACTTTATGAGTCATTCCTTCACATAGCAGTCGTACAAGACTACTCAAGCGCACGCTTTACTTTCTGAATGAAGCTTCCATCATCTACATCTGTCTCCACCCAGTTCCCCGGGCGAACTAGTTACTACCACTGCATTCTCCATGCGTCTAGAGCCCTCTTTTGGTGTCAGCAGGCATCGCGCTGTGCTGGTCGGTTGAGTTCCAAGAGGCCATGCCCCGGATCTACCTACAGTTGTACCCAGCTCCCAGCGTTGCACCCTACTTTAGAGTAAGAGCACAGCCAGCCAATGTTTGGAGAACCAACCAGCGCTCAGCCATCCAACCTGGGGCGCCACCTGTGCTACGTGCAGGCTCACCTGGGGCAGCAGCGCTGGCCGGGTGTCTGGCTGTGGCCCAAGGTACAGCCCGAGGACAAGCAGGTGCGAAAGCGACGAAGTGAGGCCGGCGGCGGCGGCGTCCCTCATGCCCAGGGGCAACATGGCGTACACCGTGAAGATGATGAAGAGAAAGAAGGACACCTGGAGGATGTGGAGAGACGGGGGACGCAGAAGGCTGTCAAGGAATTGATCATGCCCTGGGTGCGGGTTCCAAGACCCTAAATAACCTCTTCTCCCCCGCCTCACCTGATCCCAGGCACTGACCACGCCCCCGGTGAATAAGAAGCTGTGGCCCAGCGCGAGCAGCGCGGCCCACACCAAGCCCGACAGGGGTCGCGTCCAACGCTGCAGTCGCTGCTCACGGGAAGCCAGGCCCAGCAGCAGCGAAAAGCCGCCCAATGCGCATAGCACGGTGGTCAGGAAGCTTGGGTCTGAGACCAGCTCCTGTGGGAAGAGAGTTTGTTAAGCAGACTAGATAGGGAGTTTGGGGAGCTCCCCAGAGGCACGGGGGAGCGAACTAGGTATGAGTAAGAAGACAGTTCAGGTCAGTTCCTGAAAGTATCTCAAACCGAAATCTGAAAAGGACACACACGTCTCCGCTTGGCTTTCATATTATAAAATAGCCGATATTCCGTTTGGATCAACAGGGCTGGCATTTTCAGATGGTTTAACCTTATATCTCACTTGTCTGCTTCAGCACCAGCTGAGCCTGGGACTTGGACCCCGAAGGCGTGGTCATTTGTAAATCCATGACCTTTCTGAACATCAGTTTCTCATCTTTCAAACCGGAACCCTAGGACCCGCCTGGGTTCCTAAATTGTGAGCTACCTAGCTCACAAAACGCAATTAGGAATGAATGTATCCAAATCTGACCAATTTGCTGAGAGATCCCTTGGCCTTAGGGGTATCCAGAGCAGCTCCAAGCAGCGCTTGGGCATCCTCAGGGAAGCCTGGAGTCTGCACCGGCATTTGCTTGGTGTAGTAGCCTCCGCAGCTCTAGCCATTTAATTCATCTCTAGCACAGTACTGCCCCATGCTGTCCCTCCCTTTGTCCCCACCTCTTCCTGGACTTCAGGCTGGATCTGCAAAGACTGGCGCGCCCAATGCTTTTCCCACCTTGTCTCCGAGGAAAACCCGGAGTAGGGTATTGCCAGAAATGGATTTGAAGAACCCCTGCCTTTACCTCCTTCTACAAACATACACAACCCCAGAATCTGGTTTATTTGAGCACTGAAATGGGACAAAGAACGAGGGTACCTTCTGTGTTTGTGGGTACAACTACCCTACCGGTCCTAAGAGGGAGTGAAAACCAGGAAATGAATTCCCTTGGGGCCTGAATGGAATTTCCCCCCACTGGAAAATTGGAAAATCTGGTATTGGATTTATTTTAGAACCACAGCAGCTCCCAAATCTGTCAGAACCCAGAGAGAACTTAGAAACGTGCAGTGTTCAGTTACTTCCCTGTGTGGATCCAGAGGATAGCCCAGAAAGGTGGAGTGACTTGCCCGGGGTCAATCACCATAGGTGCATAGCAAGGTCTGTCATAGCCCCCAGTAAAGAAAACCTCATAAAACCCAACCCGAAACCCCTCCTCCATAAGGAGGCGCCCAATGCTGGAGGTCCCGGCGCTCACCCTGCCGCTGGCCCAGGCGACGGCGAGCAGTGCTAGCAGCGCGCAGAGTACGATCACCAGCAGTAGTAATAGCAGAGGGTACTGCTGGCTTAGGCTGTAGTAGGTCTCGTAGAAGAGATCTTCGCTCGGGGGTGGCCGAGGGCTGAAGAGGCGGGCCATGGTCCCCCGCCGCGAGCCCTGGGCTGGGGAGAGCTGGGTACCAGGTTACTTCCAGCCGCCGGGCCCAGCCCCAACTTTGTACTTCTCACTAGGTCTAAGCCCCCTTCCAGCCCGCGCCCCCAACCTCTCGGCAATCCCCTTTCCTTCCAGGCACTCCCTGCGGCCTCCCAACCCTCTCCCAGGCTGTGGGGTGGGGGTGGGGAGAACTCCCCAAGACTACCCTGTCCCTCCGTCAAGCCCAGGCTGTGGAGGTTGCGGTAGCAAGAGCCGCATGGCCAGGAGACCGAACTTGCGGTGGTTGCGGAGAAGCCCGGGGTTCCCCTATATCCGAACTCACTGTCTACGACGCCGCCGCAGCTGAGGGGACTAAGCCAGGACAGGGAGCCCGGGGGCGGGGTGGGGGCGGCTGTGGAGTCTATCTGGACGCTGAGACCACGAAGCCGCAATGCTAGTGGTTCAACGCCCGGGCGACAGGCGCTTCCCTCCGGGCGCCTAGGCCCCCTCCCACTTCCCCGACAGACCAGCCCGGCCCCTTCCCGTGCCTGAGCCGACTCCCCACGCTTCCTCCCCCATTGATTGTCTAAAACCACCGCCTACGGCTAATTCTGTATGAGACGTGGGGATGGTGTTGGGGAGAGAGAGTGAAGGGAAGTATTTAAAATGGGATGGGACGCTTGGAAGGAGTCCTGTGCTTCAGAATGATAAATGCTTCGCTGCTAATCCAAAGGTCAGCACCCACCAGCCACATGGTTGCTTCCATAAGCCTTGGAAACCCTCCTGGGGGGAGGGGGGCAGTTTTCTTCTGTCCTATAGAGTCCTATGAATCAGATTAGACTTAATGGCAATGGGTTTTTATTTGGGACGATTGGATGTGGGAGTGCTGGTGCCAGGCCTGGCAAGAATGTAGGGAAAAACGTGGGTCCCGGTACCACAAAGGGGCTGGGATCAAGTCAGAATGAGCCCTGTTTGGTGCTGTGGCAACCGCTGTGTCCGAAACAGTCGGAGTTTCTGACCCTGCAGGCTCTAACTCCGTTGAAGGCGAGTCTGTGCTAAGCTTTGTGGACGCCTTCCATTCTCAGACACCAAGTGACACATATTTGTGAAGCAAATTGCGTGTGAGAGTGTTTGATACCACGTATGTGAATTGTACTAAGGAGCTTCAAAAAGTTCATGGAAAAATTCCATCACTTTTTCACTCCATTTTCCATGAATTGTTTGAATTCTCATAAGGCTGTCTTGAGAGTCAGGGATATCGTGCAGAACACAAAATAGACCGGGATTTGCGATTTGCCATGGAGCTCTCCCAGGACCGGGGTAGTGTGTCTGAAGCCCAGAGGAAAAGGGGGAGGGGGCGGTACCACAGTCTCTATCCCCAGAGCTTAAGTTTAGGGTGGGGTGGCAGTCCCTGGTTCCAGAGGAAGCGCTCCGCCCGGAGATTAGAACGATCTGGGGAGGCAGGCCTCTAACTGTTGCCGTTGGGGCTCTGACCTTGTGTGCCACGCTTTTGCTGCCCCCAGCCCTGAGTCCAGGCTTCCGGCCTCCTAGCTGCCAGCTCAGCGACCCTCCGACTCAGTTACTAGCTTCTAACTTTGGCTAAAATGCCACATTTATTGACTAAGGTCTTCCAAGAGCAACTCACAAAATCTGTTCCGTCTCTGGCAGGCTGACCTTCCAAGAAAGTCTTGGCTACAAGAGACCTCCTTTGCTGCTGCAACCCTAACAGACATTTAGAAAGTGCAGCCATTCACACTATTTTATCCAGCTCAGGGTCTTCAGGCCCTTCTTCAGAACCTACTCTTGGGGGCTTCTGCCAGCCCCTAACCAGGCTGGGAGGTGCTGGGCCCTCCATGGACAGGGTAGGTCTGGCTTGTATGTTCATGTAGTTGTGGTTTCCAATCTGCACTGCTTGGCACCCCTCTAGGACAATAGATGGTTGTCCTTAAAGAAAATTTAGGAAAAAAATTAGGAGAGGCAGTGGCATCTTGTGTTCACCCTGGGAAAATGCTAGGTATTGGGTTTCTGAACCCCTAGTGGCAATCTAGAATTGGTTTGGCAAAAGCTTAAGAAAAGTAGTAGATGACTTTCGAGACTCTGATATTTGGATCTCTTCCATTTAGAGGCCCTATGGACTGACACACCAACAGTGGAACTTATGGGGGCTCACAGGGGTGGTGCTGAGAAGCCAGAAGGTCCAGGCTTTGCTATGTGATCTCAGTGGACTCTTTTCCCAGTGGTTATCAGTTTTCTCATTTATTACAGGAAGAGATCTCTAACTTCTAACTCCTGTGCCCACCTTTCCACCCCCAAGGTGTCTAGATTTACATGTCTTGAGGAAGAAGCTGGTGGGAGAGTTGGAAGGTCATACCTGATATTGGATTTGGCCCTGAGATCCCGTGGGGCCAGTTCTTGCCATATCTCTCAGCCCCCTGCAAACAAACAGAGCTCTCAGGCCCCCTTTCCAGGGGGCTGGTTTGCCTACCACACACCCTATCAGTCCCAAGTTTTCCCTGGCAAAAGAACAGGATTTACAGTGCACTCCAGCCCATCTCCTCCTAGTCTCACCAATGACTCACCTGATTCCCTTGGGTCCTGGGTCCTGGGACCCAAGCTGAGGTAGAGTTGGGTACCTGGCTTCTGAAAGGTGAGGAATTTGGTGTTTCATATTGGACAGTTGAATCTGAAAGTGCCTCTGCTATCTTGGTGCCCTGGACCTGCTCTCCCTGCATGTTGATCTTCTCAGTAAGCCTTGTCCAGTTTTTAGGAACAGAGCTAGGGTACTCTTCCAGGTGTAGGTTATTCAGGTTCTCAGAGACTGTGGAATCATTCCAAGAGCACTGGTCATCCATTTCTGTCTCTCTTGAGCCTGGCTCTGTGGCAGACATCTTTCTATTGCTTCCCCTGTGCTCAGAAAGAAACTTCTTTACCTGCAGAGACAGAAGAAGCTTGCTGGGCACAGAGGTGAGAGAACCAGAGTTAACTGGAGGGAGTAGACCCTTGGGCCATATCTATTGCTGCGGGAACTTGTAGGTTACTGGGTGGTGGTGGAGAGGGTTCAGGGATAAAGAACAGTGGTCAGTGGGAGGTTGCTGGGTGACAAAGGGAGCCATGTTGTGCCATCCCTGGCCAGCTCCTGGTGGGGGTAGGGGTCGGGGTTCACCATAGAGACAGCATCATCCATCTTTCCCTTGACCAGAGAGACGACTTCACAGGTTTTTGATCGACAGTCTAGAGAGATAGCAGAGCAAGTTGCAGGTGAACAAAACTTCCTATGGTAAAAGCCCCCTGCTGGGTAAAGACCCAGGACCCTTGTCTGCCCAGATGCCTGCCAAATGGTCAGCTCACCCTGGAAGGAGGGCCTGTCTTTGGGCTCATGGCTCCAGCAGTGCTGCATTAGCTTCTTCAACACTTTTAAGCCAGGAGTGTTGGGCCCTGGCTCACATAGCTCTGTCAAAGGGGGCCGGTCCTGATTCTCACACACTGCTACCTGTGCCAGTGATGTCTGGACCACTACTGAGTGGGGTGGTGGTGGAAGAGAAGAGAAGGCATTTCAGCTCTAAAAGAAGCTTGCTCTATAAAGCGACATGGAATGTTGTTTAAGGTGAGGTGAGGAGGAAGTCTGGTGGTCTAAGTACATAAGCAGGAAGGGGAGGGCTTGGAGGCTTGGGCTTGTGGGGGAGGAGGGCACCGGGGGTGGGGGTTAAGGATCCCAATGTTGGCCTGAAAGTCTTACTCTCAGCTTCTCTTCCAGCTAGCACTGCCCACATTAAGATCCCAAAGCTGCAGGAGACAAAAAGATGAGGCAGCGTATGGCAACATGCTTCTCTCTTTCACATGGATCCCTTAGAAGGGTTCAGAGAGGTGTAGACAAGAGAACTGGGATATATGGTTGGGGCGGATAGCTTACCTGTAGACATCACTGTCCTTGGAGGCCCTCTGGTTTACATCAGCCAATAGTTCTGGGGCCAAGTAGTTTAGGGTGCCCCATGGCTCACTGAACCCTGTCTTTGATCCTGACACCCCCTGAAATGTTGACAAGCCAAAATCTGCCAGCTGTAAAGACAGGGAAGAAGGAGAAGGTAAAGGGAGAGGCAATTTCCACAAGTGCCCTCTCTCCAGCAGGTGAAACTTCAGCCTTACAAAGAGGGTGTGAAGGATCAGATGAAGGGTAGGATAGTGGGGCCCTGGGGTTGGAGTTCTGGCCCCCCTGCTCAGTGGGACTGGGCCAAGTGGGACTGGGCCAAGGCTTGTCTCTTGGGCTAAGCTGACCATGGCTTTTTGGAGAGCCTGGTTGGGTGGGCTTATGGAATTGACAGTGGTAGTTTTTATCTCCTGGTAGGGAAGGGGTTGATGCTTCTGGGTGGGTCTTGGCCCCTGGACAGTTCTATGTCTAGGAGAGGCTGAGGGGACCCACCAGGACAAGGCTGTGGCAGGGCCTGAGTTAGCCCTGGGACAGAACCTGGTCCTGTGATTGGAATGGGAATGAATGACTGACCTTGGCGTGCAGCTCTTGATCCAGCAGGACGTTGGAGGGTTTGAGGTCTCGGTGTAGCAGGTTCAAGCTGTGCAGGTAACACATCCCAAGCACAACTTCATGAAGTAGGCGGCAGAGGAGTGGCCAGGGCTGAGGGCACTGGGGCTGCAGCATCCCGGACAGGGAGCCATTCTCCATGAACGGAGTCACCAAAGCCGGCCCTGACACATTCTCCAACTCCAGTGTGTCAGTAACGCCTAACAGGAGCAGCACATAATTGTTTCGCAGATCAGCCATGGTCTTCACTTCCCGTAATACCGCCTTCCTAGAAGCCAGGAGAAGGTTGCCAAGTTGGGAAGGGGTCGTGGAAAGACTCCTCCCCTCCCCATCCAGGACCTGGAGCACTGTGGGGTCACGGGGTCACTCACGAATCTACGATCTTGACCGCTACATCATAGCCCCACGTCCTATGGTGCGCCCGGAACACTGCGCCGAATCCACCTTGGCCGAGGAACTGCGGGTTCTCCAATTCCTTTTCCGACACCAGCGGCGCGGAGACAGGGCTGAGCCTGAAAAAGGGACTTCATATACCAGCATCCACTCCCCAGGAGTGGGCACCGACACGGTACAAACTCAGTCTTCCCCTGTGGAACCCAGAGCCCCAGGCCTCGGCATGGGACACAACGATGTTCCCTGAGTCTGTCCGCCGAGTGCCCTGTAGAATTGTTGGCGAGACTGACTCTCCACTCACCTTGTCTTGGAGGCAGACATCAGACAGGAGGCTGCTAGAGGCTTCTGAAAATCGTGTGCCTTACCGAGTGACTTACCGAGCCCGGGTTTACCGAGCCGGCGAACCGGAAGGCGGGCCTGGAGAGGGATTAATCTTTAGACCCGGGCATGGGTTCCACTTTCCGGGTTGCTCCCCAATACCGAGTAACTTGACAACTTCCTTCTAGACTTGCATAGGGAGCCTCCACAGCTCCGCCCCTGAGATGGGGCGGAACTGAAAACTAGTGCTTTTCTTTTCTGATTAGTATTTTCTTCATTCATTAGTATTTCTTTAGTATTTCTTCATTCATTAGTATTTCTTCATTCTTCTTGGATCAACTATTAACACTCACAGAAGCAGCAGTCAAGAGATCAGACAAC